ACAAATTAGCCTTTTTATTGTAAAGCTAGAGCAAGTACTGGACTTAAGGATTATGTAAATGATACTTAAAAATTAAATTTGGCTTATTCTGGGAGGACACCAGGGGACTTCAAGGTTGTAGAAAATAAGTTTATTTTCTGGCTTGCTTTCCATTTCATGTATGACCTTGGACAGGTGACTGAGCCTCCATTTTCCTCATTCAGTTTCATTACAAATCAATAAAGTAGCGCCAGGAACAGATACGACTACGAGACGAGTCTTCCCCCTTCTCTTGTTTTTCCCCATTCCTTCAAGTCTTTTTTTTTTTTTTTTTAAATAAGTAAAGTGCATGAAAACATTCAGCAAAAGACTTATGGAAATAAAGATACTCCCTTTTCGGCATGTTCCTCACTTGTTTTTTTAATCTTACTAGCTGGGTGTTATTATAATGAGTAATTGAAGATAAAGACAAAGGCCTTAAAGTGCCAGAAAAGAGCAGAGATCTGGTCAACCACCTGGTGCCTGTGCAAGTTTATCAGCTTCAGTGAAAACCTAATAAGTCTTTGCTGAAATTCATTATGTGATGTGTTGTCCTCCCAATACAAAGATGCCATTTCTGTCGCACCAGATTTAAGGTGTGTTCTTGTCACTGATACCTACACAGTTGCCAAATGAGGACACTGAATGTAGCAGCCGGGTTTTCAGAGGCAGAGGCAGGTAAACCAGATGTAGACGGAAGCCTCATCCATACTGAATGTGTTATCACCAGCTGATGGACCTAGAGGACACTGAATCCTAAGTTCTGATGGAGAAAGGGTAGAAGCTTGCCTGAGGGCCCAAGGGTTTCCAGACACCACAGGGGCCCTCCCAGATGGAATTGGCTGTGAAACCAGAGACTTCAGACCAGTACTATCTTTTTCTAAATGACAGAGCTTTTTCATTCATCTGTAAGGTTTATGGCAGGAGCCCTGGTGGCACAATGATTAAGCTCTCAGCTACCAACCAAAATATGGGTGTTTCGAGTCCATCTGTGGTTTTGTGGGAGAAAAGACCTGGTGATCTGTTCCCAAAAAGGTGGTGGTTGTTAGGTGCTGTCAAGTTCTTTCCTATTCATAGCAATGCTGTGTACAACAGAATGAAACACTGCCCTGTGATCCTGTGCCATCTTCACAATCATTGCCATCTTTGAGCCTGTTGTTGCAGCCACTGTGCCAGTCCATCTTGTTACCTAAGACATTTGACTACTAACCAGAAAGTTGGCGGTTCAAACCCACCAGCTGCTCTGTGGAAGGAAGACTGGGAAATCTACTTCTGTAAAGATTTATCACCTCAGAAACCCAGAGGGGGTTGCTGTGAATTGGAATTGACTTGATATCAGTGAGTTTGATTTTTTTTTTTTTTGGTTTATACCTTACCAAGCATGACATCCTTCACCTAGGACTGGTCCTTCCAGGAAACATATACAAAGTATGTGAGACGAAGTCTTGCCATCCTCGCTTCTAATTGTGTTCTGGCTGTACTTCTTCCAAGACAGATTTGTTCATTTTTCTGGCAGTTCATAGTATATTCAGTATTCTTTTTGCCAACCCCATGATTCAAAGGCATCAATTCTTCTGCGATCTTCCTTATTTGTCCTCCAGCTTTCGCATGCATATGAGACAATTGAAAAAGACCACTTTAAAGAGGTCTTTTGTAGCATATTTGCCCAATGCAGTATGTCGTTTGATTTCATGACTGCTGTTTCCATGAGTATTGATTGTGGATCCAAGTAAAATAAAATCCTTGACGACTTCAATCTTTTCTCTGTTTATCATAATGTTGCTTATTGGTCCAGTTGTAAGGATTTTTGTTTTCTTTATGTTGAAGTATAATCCATACTGAAGACTGTAGTCTTTGATCTTCATCAATAAGTGCTTCAAGTCATCCTAACTTTCAGCAAACAAGGTTGTGTCATCTGCATTTCAGAGATTGTTAATGAGTCTTCCTCCAATCCTGATGCTGTGTTCTTATTCATATAGTCCAGCTTCTCAGGTTATCTTCTTAGCATGCATATTGAATAAGTGTGGTGAAAGGATCCAACCCTGGCATACACCTTTTCTGATTTTAAACCACACAATGTCCCCTCATTCTGTTTGAATGACTGCCCTTTGGTCTGTGTATAGGTTCTGCATGAGCACAATCAAGTGTTCTGAAATTCCCATTTTTCACAATGTTATCCATAATTTGTTAGGATCCACACAAGTGAATGCCTTTGTGTAGTCAGTAAAACACAGGTAAACATCTGTCTGCTGTTCTCTGCTTTCAGCCAAGATCATCTGACATCAGCAATAATATCCTTCATTCCTCTTCTGGCAAAAACTCTACAGGGCAGTTCTCCTGTGTCCTATAGGGTCATTATGTTGTTGTTATAAACAAGAAGGGTTTATTGAGCCTTAGAAAGCAAGGCAAGGAAGATGAGATTGAGGGATAACTGGTTGAGGTCAGTGATCCAATGCCGTTGGTGTGACTTGACTGGGCAGAGAGAGTCGGGAACTAGCCCTCATGGTTCTGATGAGGAAACTTTACTAATGACAGAAGGGCATTGCTCTGGAAGTGCCATGCCTAAAAACTGGAATAATGCCAGAGAAATATATACCATTGTAAGTATCATGTTTCCTTATGAAATACTCTCTTAGATAGTTCTCTTTACCCCTTCCCAAACTGTCCACTTACAACATTCCTAATTTGGATATTCTTCATCTACAGTGACCCCCAAATCTGTAAGTCTGGGTTGAGTTCTCTGGCATTTTGATGCTTAGAGTATTTATGCTTATGAATTTACACTCTGGGGAGAGGAAGGCTGCAAATAACAGAAAGTTTGCTTTTAGCAAAAGTTATCCCTGGTTCTCGTGACCGTTATGTTTCTCACATTGCCTGGGTTATTCTGCAGTTTGTCTAGTAGCTCTTAATTTCTCTGAGCTTTGAATTTCTCCTGCTTCCATTCAGAAAACTAGCCTCTTTGCTGGGTATTTATGTATCTCTTTCCAAAGGAGACATACCTCATACCAGTAATGAGCTGCCGTTGAGTGAACCCAGATTCATGGTGACCCCATGTGTGTCAGAGTACAACTGTGCTCCTTGGAATTTTCAGTGGCTGTTTTTAAAGTAGATTTCTAGGCCCTTCTTCTGAGACACCACTGTTTGGACTTGACCCTCCAGCCTTTCAGTTAGTAACCAAGTGTGTTAACCATTTGCACCACTCAGAGACTCCCATATGTGATACACGTGTGCCTTTTCTTTTCCAGAACCATGCTTGCTTCAAATCAAGGGAATTTCTTGAGCATCTGCTATGTAGCAGATCCTTCACTAGGAACTGGGCAAGGCATCTGCTGCCAACGTGCCCACTGTCTAATGGAGATGACTAGGAGGATCCTTGACATGAAATTAGACAACTAAAATGACTAAGTTTTTTATGTTGCTTGATGCTTCAATACTTGGCGGTTGTGGTTTGTTGAATGCTTCAATAATATGATTTTTTATTTTAGTTTCCTTTGAAAGAACTTACAGTATATGAATTAACATTCTTGTGTTTTAACATATATTTTAAGACTTCTTTTTATATATGTCTTTAAGGTATATTGTTAAAAGTGGTACAAAGTATGAATACATAAACCCATACGTTTCCTAGGCAATTGCTTGCTCTCTCTATGAGTCAGAGTAAACTACAGCTAACAAGCTGGTTGTGTCTAAGGATATTTCTTGCAAAGGATATTTCTCATCATCAGGCGGCCTGCAGAGCCTTCCCAAAAGGCTTTTTTCTCTGTGAATCTGGGCTTGAGTCCCTGTTCAGTGACCCTTGTTCTGACGGGGAAACTGAGATACTGTTCAGAGTCTACCTGCTGATCAGGACTTGTTTCACATTGAGATATCTGAATTATTACAAATGTTTGTCACTTGAGTAGAGATGGTAGGAATTCCATGTATTAGCTATGCTGACAGCCCTGGTGGCACAATGGTTACTTTAAGCTCTTGGCTGCTAACCAAAAGGTTGCCAGTTCAAACCCACCAGCAGCTCTGCAGGAAAAAAGGCCTGGCAATCTGCTCCCATAAAGATTACAACCTAGGAACCCCTATGGAGCAGTTTTGCTCTGTCCTATAGTGTTGTTATGAGTGGGAATCTACCTGATTACACACAACAGCAGCAGCGATGCTGATAGGAAGCTCATGGAACAGTTCCAGGTATAACTAGCTTGAGCAAGTTACATCCGTGTGGCAGTGGGACTGGTGTTTGCAAATTCTCAGTGCCTGTGGAGGAAGGAGACCAGGGCCACATGAAGGTGCCCTCTTTTTCAGAGGGTTAATTCTTTGTGGCCCAGGTTGTGAGACACCAATATGTTTTTGCTTTTATTTTTATTTTTATTATTTTTTGTGAGCACTTACTATGTGTCAGCCACCATTTAGAGGACTCTGGTAGCATGGTGCCTAAAGCACTTGACTGCTAACCAGAAGGCTGGCGATTCAAACCCACCAGCCACTCCTCGGAAGAAAGGTTGGGCAATCTCCTTCTGTGGTGATGTCACCTCGGAAACCCAAAGAGGGGTCGCTGTGAGTCGGATCCGACTCGATAGCACATAAGAACAACAACAACAACACCTACATTAATTCCTTCAATCTTCACAACAACATACTAAGGCAGGTACCATTATCATTTTCACTCTACAGATCAGGAAATACAGAGAGATTAAGTAACCTTCTTGAGGTCCCACGGCTGTTTTTTGTTTCTTTCATGATTTGGGTGAATGTTTACAGAGCAAATTCATTTTCCATACAGAAGTTTATACATATTTTGTTTCATGACATTGATTGCGATCCCCACACTAACAGTCCTTTTCCACTTCCTCCCTGTGGCTACCTTTCCCCGGAGACACCAGTGTGTTTTAATAGTTTAAATACAAAGATAGATGACAATTGGAAAATGAGCTCATGTTCTGGGAATTATTTTTGTTTTGTTTTGAAATCTGTCTTTTTCTATTTTGTTCTAGGTGCAACATTAGAAGAAATAAACCAGCATTGGGACTGGCTGGAGCAAAACCTCCAGCACACTTTATCTGTGTTTGATAATAAAGAAGACATTGCTAGTTTTGTGAAAGGGAAAGTAAAGGTAGGTTCCTTGACTTTAATATTTCTGTCTGCATCTCCATTTTCCTTATAACATTTGTTCTGGCTACCTAGTGCTGCTCTGACAGAAATATACGACAAATGGGATGCTTGAACAAACAGGAGTTTATTCTCTTACAGTTTGGGAGGCTGGAAGTCTGAGTTCAAAGTGCCAGGTTGTAGGGGCTGTGTGAAAGCCCCTTGACCTTGGCCTTTAGCTCTGCTTCTTGCTCCCAGCCCACTGAAGCTAGAGGCATCTCTTCACTCAGGCAGCCACTGGCTGCTGAGGCTAACAGACAAATAAAATGGTCAACAAATAAAATGGCACAGTCCCGATGTTACAAAACAACACAGCAGGCCATTGATTCAAGTCCATTGAAGGTCCCAGGATTGGCAGAGCATGGCAGGCTGCTAAACAATGACATGGCTACATGCAGGGTTCAAGGGTGCCATCAGCTGGAGACCATTCCCAAGGTTGCTGCCTATATGTGGCTAGCAGATTACATCCCTAAAGCAGCTACTCAGCTGCTTGTGGTAGATCCTACCATGGAGTTGATTGTCTCATCATGGGGAATAACTACCACCAGCTGCCCAGCCACTCAACCAGGTCCACCCAAGTTAACATACAACTTTAACTACTACAACATCCTTTTAAGATCTTGAACAGTGCAGCAGTTTTACTCATATACTGATGGTTTTCTCTACTATAACTGTGCTCTTTGACTAACGTAAGCCAGGTGAGTTTGACCTGTTACCTCTCAAAGTTGGTAGGTTTGTTTTTAGGTGGCGTCAAGTCACTTGTGACTCATAGTGATCCCATATGACAGAGTAGGGTAGAACTGCCCCATAAGATATTCTCGGCTGTAATCTTTACAAGAGTAGATTACTAGGTCTTTCTCTCATGGAGCTACTGGCTGGGTCTGAACTGCCGACCTCAACTTAGCACCAGGGCTCCTTAACCTTGGCAGTCAGTCTTTATTTCAAGAGTGTTTTGACAGAGTCAGTCCATCTGTCAAAATATACCTGAAGTGAAAAATGATGTCATTCTTACACCTAGTGTTTGCTATCCTTTATAGAAGTGAAGACCTTTTTTTGCAGGAAAAAAATAATGTTAAAATTTATGTTTTTCTAGAGCAACAACATGATTAGATACCTTAAATTAGTTATTCCCAACTTTTTTTGTGTTGTGTATCTTATTATACTATGTTTTGTTGGAACTAGCCAGTAAAGCTCTCCCTCTTCCTACAAGTGCTATGTGGTGTATATTTTTAAAATATGTTAATTAAATGGAATTAAAGCCAATTAAATTTTTAGAAGGTAGAGTAGTAGTATTTTGGGAGGTAACTGTTGATACATCCTGTGAGTTACAGTCTTATATAACTGGTCTCATTACAATAACACAACTGGTCATCAGTGCTTTAAAAACCTACTCCACAAGAGAGACATTTTCTTATTCTAAATTGAACTCTGTTATTAAACATTTCAATACGTTGGCCTGTAATACAGTTTTCCTCCCTTACGGTGAAACCCCCCATACTATTGGTTTTGTTTGTTTTTATCTTCCAAAAGCTTGTTTTTCCAACAAGCTAAGTGCTTCTGCTTTTAGTAAAGAGTGTCAAAGTGCATTCTATTGATTTTAAAAAAATGAAATGGAAGCAAGTTTTGCCTTTGGGGGTTGGTCTTAGTCTCTTAGTACTGTTACAACAGAAATACCACAAGTGTGTGGCTTTAATGAACAGAAATTCATTTTCTTGTAGTTTAGGAGACTAGAAGTCCGGGAAGGTTATCTGTCAGTTCTGGGGAAAAGTCCTTTTCTCAGCTTCTCTAATGTTCTTCTCAGCATTCTTTTTTTTTTTTTTTTCAATTGTGCTTTGGGTGAAAATTTATGGAGAAAAGTTTGTTTTACATTCAACAGTTCGTGTGAGTTTGGTTTCACTTCATTCCCCAATTACCATCCTCAGCCTTAACCCACTTTCCTCCTCTCCCTTCCCTGTGACCCTCCCTCCCCCCCAATCCTTGTGCCCTTCTTAGTTATGCACTCCTGTCTGCCCAGATTTCCTTCCATGTGAATGCTGCCCCTTTGTGCTCCATGGCCGACTGCTCCAAGGAGTTATCTCCATAGAGTAGGTGGGTGCATCACCCTGGGTTGGGTGTTTTGCATGTAAGTCTTTCTACTGTTGGGCTGCTTCTCAGCAATCTTTAGAGATCTCCACTTGGCATTTGTCTTTTTCCCATTTGTGCTTCCTTGCTTCTGTGTCTAATCTGCTTTTCATATCTCAGAAGTCATTATTTAAGACATACCCTACACTGACATAACAAAGAAAACATTATTCCCAAATGGGATTACATCTACAGGTGTAAAACCAAAACCCACTGCCATTGAGTTGATGCTGACTCATAGCAACATATAAGACAGAGGAGAACTGCACCATCGGGTTGACAAGGCTGTAAATCTTTATGGAAGCAGACAGTCTGGTCTTTCTCCAGTGGAACAGCTGGTGGGTTCAGGCCACCCACCTTTCGGTTCAAATCTGAGTGCTTAACCACTGCACCACACATATAAGGGTTAGTGTACACATATTTGGGGGTGATATAATTGAATCTGGAACAGGGGTGCTTGTAAAATCAGTTGAAACACAGGGGCCTTGGCTCCAGCAAGTGTGGCAGTGTTGGCCGGGTATCCCCATGGTGGTCCTGGCCCTTGGAGGCTAGTTGGGTGGGCTTTCTTTAAAAAAAAAAAAGAAAGAAAAAGTTCTGAGGAGCCTGCTGGTCTGCAGCAGGGTTAGGGATGAGGGCTCCACCTGGTCTGAGATGGTGGCCATAGCATCACCATGCCTGCTGTCCCTATGGGAGCACAACATGGTGTTTGCAATTCCTTTCTTTTGGCCAAAGCCAGGATCTGGGAGTTGAGGCTTTCCTGCTCATATGTCCTGAGCACCTAACCTTTTTATAACCAACCAGTTGCCATCTTGTTGGTTCTGACTCATGGTGACCCCATGCGTGTCAGAGGAGAGCTGTCGCCATAGTTTCCAAGACTGTGTGTGACTTTTTGGACACAAATTGCCAGGCCTCTATTCTGAGGTACTTCTAGGTGGATTTGAACCTCCATCTATTCAGTTAGTTGCCAAGTGCTTAATGAATTGTGTCACCCAGGAACTTTGACCTTTAAAAAAAAAAAAAAGAAAGAAATCCCTCTTCTTCAAGCTGTGCCTATGTTGTTGTTGTTATGTGTCGTCGAGTCGGACCCGACTCATAGTGACCTCTCCTTGGGTTTCTGAGGTGGTATCACTACAGAAGTAGATTGCCTAACCTTCCTTCAGAGGAGTAGCTGGTGGGTTTGAACTGCCAGCCTTCTGGTTAGCAGTCAAGTGCCTTAGGCACTGCGCTATCAGAGCTCCTAGCTGTCTCTATAAGACACTACAATTTTATGAGACTCAGGAATCCATATGGTGACCATTTGTGGCTGTGTCTGGAGTCACCAGATCCTATTCTGTAAGCATCACTTGTTTTCTCCTACAGCCTTTATAAAAATCTCCTCACTTTCACTTTTCAGAGCTGAGGAGAACTGAACTTGTGGGATGGTACCCAGCAGCCATCACTGACTATTTTGATCAAAGATTCTATAGAAAAATCTTGGTCAGAATGTAGAACCGAATTTCAAACTCTTATGGAATCGAGGCTTTCTGCAGCCATGGAGGCTTGGTGAGCTCCTGGTATAATCGTTAAACCTTAAACCTAAAACATCCCCTGAAGTCTTTTTAAAACCAAACAGTAGTTTAGCTTAACTAGTAAAGAATGTCTGCCTTGAATAATGTGCTTTTTTAAGATCAATCTGGGTTATCAAATTGAAAACAGCAACTCAAAAATTAGATAGGAAAGTTAGGGAGCAGTGAGTTTATATTGATGGGGGAGAAAAAACTCAGAATAGGAGGCTGGGAATGGTTGCATAACTGAATAATGTAATCAGTGTCCCTAAATTGTATGTGTAGAAAATATTGAATTGGTGTATGTTCTGCTGGGTATATTCTCAACAACAAAAATAAAATACATTATTTTAAAAAGTATTATGTTAGATATTCCTTTCAAAGTATCATTTTTCCTAATTATAATTCTTATTATGTATTAATATCATATTACATAAAAATTAGAAAATAAAGGAAAAAATTATCATCACTTGTAATTTCACAAGCTTTGAGATTTATTTAAAAAATAATTTTAAATTACATTCTTCTTTTAATGAGTGTCCAGTTTTAATTTCTAAAATAGCTGTGTACTGCAGGCTTTGGTAGCAACTTCCTAAAGTGACCTTGTTCTGAAGAACCTATCCTTTCATGATGCATATGGGCAAGAATAGAAAGGAAGAGAGATGCTAATAAAAATTAATGAAAAGAGTGGAATTATAGATATATTTTAAAAATTGAGAAGAACATATAAAGCCCAAGGCTCTGGAGTTCTTGAACAGCTAATCATATGAGGGTTGCTGTTTTAGTTGCCATCAAGTCAGTCCTGACTCATGTCAACCCCATGTGTGCAGAGTGAAACTGTTCCACAGGGTTTTTAAGGCTGTGACCTTTTGGAAGCAGATCTACAGGCCTATCTTCTGAGATGTCAATCTTTTGACTAGTAATTGAGTGCTTGACTGATTGCACCATCCAAGGGCTTCCATATGGAGAAAACCCCCCCCCCCCAAAAAAAAACTCACGTCAAGTCAGGTCTGACTCATAGCGAGCCCTGCTTGGGTTTCTGAGGTGGTATCACTATGGAAGCAGATTGCCCAACCTTCCTTCTGAGGAGTGGCTGGGGGGTTTGAACTGCCAGCCTTCTGGTTAGCAGTCAGGTACCTCAGGCACTATGTCACCAGAGCTCTCCATATAGAGATAGCAAGAAGAAGTTCTTAGTGAAGAAGTTTGCCGTGAGCACACAGGGATACAGAATCCAAATTCTAATCTTATCAACTGTTTGTTACCCTATGGGAACGGGACACAAGCTCAATCAGAAGGTTGGCGGTTCAAACCCACCAGGTGATTCGAGGAAGGAAGATGGGGCAATCTACTTCCATAAATATTTACTGCTTTGGAAACCCAATGAGTGTCGCTATGAGTCAGAATCTGCTAGTGGCAATGGGTTTGGTTTTGGTTTCTACCACTTTATCCCAGATTTAGAAAGGACCCTTATTATTATTTGTTACTGGCAAAATAATTATAGATTCAGATATTTTCTTTCCTCTCCTATGTCTCCATATACTCAGTGTTTGGAGATATTTATGACCTTGGCCAGTATAATCCTTTTCTACTTTAGAATGCTGTAGAATGCACAATGGAAATGAAATGAGTGGTGTGTTACTTGAGCGAGGAATTTGTTCTTGGGTTTTCTGACCTCTAGTTCTTTTCTTTCACAGCAACACTGTTGGCACTGTTTCTAGATGGACAAGGTATATTAGTGAGCCATTTCCACCCATTATGCATGTCTGTTTTTAAAGGACTGAAGACTCAGTGTAGTGGTGCCTCTCTTGTCTTTTTTGCTTCCTGTCCCTTCTAGCCTCCTGCCTTCCCTTTGCCCTTCTCGCTGAGTGAAGGAGGCTGTCTTAGTCTCTCAGTGCTTCTGTAACAGAAATACCACAAGTAGGTGGTTTTAAAGAATAGAAATTTATTTTCTCTTAGTTCAGAAGGCTGTGAGCTACAATGCTAACTAAGTCCAGATCAGAGAACCAGCCATAGAGATGTCTCTGTCATCGTTGGGGAAGATTCTTGTCTCTTTCAACTTCTTTTCCTTGATTCCTTGAGGATCTTGGCATCTGTCTTGCCCTGTTTGTGCTTGTTTCTGTATCTAACCTGCTCTTTTTATACCTCAAAAGTCATCAGGCTTAAGACACCCTACGCTGCTATGGCTTCATTAATGTAACAAAGAAAACTCTAATCCTAAATGGGATTACATCCACTGGTATACCAAACCTGTTGCCATGGAGCTGATTCTGACTTATAGCAACCCTACAGGACAGAGTAGAACTACTCTATAGCATTTCCTACGCTGTAGTCTTCGAAAGCGACTTGACGGCAGTGAGTTTGGTTATTTTTTTTTTTTTGGAGTCTTTACAGAAGCAGACTGCCACATCTTTCTTCTGTGGAGTGACTAGCGGGTTCAAACCTCTGACCTTTTGGTTAGCAGCCAAGCTCTTAACCACTGTGCCACTATGGCTCATATTTTGAGGGGACGCAGTTCTATCCATAACAGAGGCTGTTGTCTTTCTGTTATCAGGCTCTGATTGCAGAGGAGACAAGCAGCAAACTTGCAGAGCAGGAAGAGGAGCCTGAGAAGTTCCGAGAAGCCTTGGTGAAGTTTGAGGCCAGGTTTAACTTCCCGGAGGCAGAGAAGCTAGTCACCTATTACTCCTGCTGCTGTTGGAAAGGCAGAGTGCCCCGCCAAGGCTGGCTGTACCTCAGCATCAACCACCTCTGCTTCTACTCCTTCTTCTTGGGCAAGGAACGTAAGTGGAGGATTGTGATGATCTCAGGAATGATTTGCTCCTTCACAGATAAAGTCAGCACCCAAGATGCTTAGCATTTGGTCCCAAGATAAGTTATTAACATGAAAAGTTAAGCAAAAGATTTGAATTAGTAGTTGAGATGACAGCAGGTGATACTTGATAAATTCACAAATGACTTGTGTAGACAATCATATTTACTTACATATATTACTACTTTGTTGTTGTTGTTGTT